TAGTTTAAGATAGTCCCATTTGTCTATCTCTGTTTTCACTTGCTTGGCCAGCGGCGTGACATCTTTGAAGATACCATTAGCTTCAATGTCATGGAGGGTTTTGCCAACTTTTTCTTCAATGTACCTTATGGATTCCAATCTGATGTTGAGGTCTTTAATCCACTTTGATCTTACTTTTTTACATGGTGTTAGGCAGAGATCTGAGCCCACTTTTTTGCATGTAGCCATCTAGTTTTGCCAGCACAAGTTGTTAAAGAAGCCTTCCTTGCTGCACTTCACTTTTCTTGCCCCCTTATCAAAGATTAGATGATCATATGCTAGTGGGGAGATGTCAGTATATTCAACCCTGTTCCATTGGTCTACAGCTCTGCCTTTGTTCCAGTACCATGTTGTTTTAATTATTCCTGCTTTGTAGTAGAGTTTGAAGTTAGGGAGGTTGATTTTCTTTTCTCCAAGAATTGCTTTAGCTAATCGTGGGGGCTTATTGTTCCATATAAATTTCAGGAGTGTTTGCTCCATTTCTTTGAAGAGTGTCAAGGGTATCCTAATAGGGATCGCGTTGAATTTGTACAGTGCTTTGGGAAGTATTGCCATTTTGACAATGTTCATTCTCCCAATCCATGAACAGGGGATATTTTTCTATTTCCTCGTGTCCTCTTTTATTTCCTGAAGTAGCATTTTGTAGTTTTCTTTGTACAGGTCCTTTACTTCCTTATTTAAGGTGATTCCTAGGTACTTGATTTTCTGGGGCTCAATTGTGAACGGGATTGTTTTCTTCATGTCACTTTCTTCTCTTTCACTATTTGCCTATAGGAAAGCCATGGACTTTTGGGTATTGATTTTATAGCCTGCAACTTTACTATACAAGTCTATTGTTTCTAGGAGTTTCTTGGTAGAGGTTTTAAGGTTCTCTAAGTATAGTTTCATATCATCTGCGAATAGTGAGAGCTTGATTTCTTCCTTTCCTACCTGGATGCCCTTAATATCTTTTTCTTGCCTAATTGCTATCACTGCACCATATCTTTCCAATCCTATCGCACAGTTTCTTTATCCACTCATCAGTTCTTGGTTACTGTGTTGGCTTCCAGATTTTGGCTATTGGTAATAGGACCACAATGAACATAGGTGGGAAATGTCTCTTCAAAATAGTGTTTTGGGGTCCTTGGGGTAGATTCCAAGAGGTAGAATTGCTGGATCATATGCATGTTCAGTCTTTAGTTTTGTGAGATGAGTTCATATTGTTTTACATAAAATTTGGACAAGTTAATACTTCCACCGACAGTGGATAAGGGTATCTTTTCTCCCACATCCATGCCAGCACTATGCTTTGGTTCTTTAGTGTTAGGGACTACTAAAGTCCTGAACTCAAGAACTTGCACATGAAAACCATGTGCTCCTAAGTCCTCAACTATTTATCTCTCTAGCCCTGAGATATTTTAATATTTTCAAACTTTGAGTCTTGTTTTTCCTTCTTTCTAGGAGCCAGCCTGGTTTGATTCATGCCAAAATCTCAGTGATTTTCTGCTGGTTCTGGTTTTTTCAGTTCCATTTGCATAGCTCTTGCAATGTACTTTGGATCTGTTTCATGAAAGTAACACTCAGTGGAAAAGTCTAGAAGATCTTTCTTAATTTTAAAGTGTATCTTTTAGTTTACTTTAAAAATAATTTATGTATTGGCTAGGATCAGTTCCACACGTTCACAATTTACAGTGAATTTAGGAGTCCATAAATAATGTTTAGTATCAAGTTCAGATTTTCTAAGTTCCTTCTTTCCCACAGTTGCCTTCATACTTTTGGGTCCTCTGGGGCAGGATTTTCCTTTGCCAATAGACTTGCTACTACCTACTTTTTAGACTACTAAAGTTACTACTTCATGCTTTCTTTTGGAGAGGTAGGGGGAGACACGCCCAACAGTGTTCAGGGCTTATTCCTGACTCTGCACTCAGAGATCACTCCCTGTGGGCTCTGTGAATTATATGGGATTCCAGGGAGTACACCCAGGTCAGCTGCATGTAAGGCAAACATCCTACCACTGTACTATTGATCTGGCCCCGTGCAGCATGCATTTTGTATAAGTGTTTTGTTTGTTTCCTTGGTTTTGGTTATTGGGCCACACCTAACTATTCAGAATTTACTTTCATCTTTATACTTCAGGAATCAGTCCTGGTGGGGCTCACGGGACCATTTGCAGTCCAAGGATGAAATTATAGTCAGATGCATGCAACACAAGTGCCTTAATCCCTGTACCAGCTCTTCAGTCTCTCTATACAAGTGTTTTGTTTTGTTTTGTTTTGTTTTGTTTTATTGGCTACACTCAATGGTGCTTAGGATTTACTCCTGGCTCTGCACCCTGAGATTACCCCTACTAGAGCTGGGTGGTGGGGAACATGTGGGGTGCTGGAGATCAAACCTAGGTCAGCTGCATATAAGACAAGCACCCTACTTGTTATACCATCTTTTCAGCCTTTCTGTGAAATTTTTAGTGCTTGTATTTGCTGGGAGAGACAGAATATAGTGTGTTTGCTTCTTCCTGACCAAGAGCTGGAACACCTTGATATTACATAATTACTTCTAAACTTTTGACTCCAGTCTACTTCTCTCTCCTAAGCCCTATCCTTTTATATCTAGCAGTTTCCAGGATATGTTACTTTTTATATATAATTATGTACATAAAGTACATATTTGCTGAGTAAGGAAGAGAAAAAAGTAGAAGAGTTTTTTATTTTATTTTATTTTATTTTGCTTTTTGGGTCATACCCAGCGAAGCACAGGGTTACTCCTGGCTCTGCACTCAGGAGTTACTCCTGGCGGTGCTCAGGGGACCATATGGGATGCTGGGAATCGAACCGGGTCGGCCACGTACAAGGCAAACACCCTACCAACTGTGCTATCTCTCCAGCCCCAAGTAGAAGAGTTTTTTAAAATAGTCTTTAAAGATGTTAAAAAATGTTTAGCAGTAAAATGAAAGAAAGTTAAAAAAAAATTTATGTGGTCAGCCCATGAAGTGCCAGAAAGTCTCAAAGACTCACACAAAGAATTAAAATACTATGCAGTGAGGAAGTACTGAAGACATTAAGCCAGAAAAATCTTGGCCTCTTTTATAGTTTTTTTATGCAACTATTCTCATTCAACTAGTTATATTCCAGGTCAGAAATATAACTGATAAGGGTAAGGTGCTTGCCTGGTACATGGTCAACTCCAGTTCAATCCCTGGCACTATGAATGGTCCAGAACACTGCTGGGAGTGATCCCTGAGCACAGATCCAGGAGTAGACCATAAGCACCTAAACAATTTTAAAAAATCATTTTTAATATTATCGGTCTTGTTTCTAAAAATTTAAACAAGAAGTCATGTGTTACTTCATCACTGTATCACTGTCATCTCATTGATCGTCAAATTACTCGAGTGGGCGCCAGTAACGTCTCTATTCCTCCCAGCCCTGAGATTTTAACAGCCTCTTCTTACTTGTCTTTTCCCAAGATTGGGGGCTCTTTCAGCGCCAGGGAAATGAGATCTGTTGTTGTTACTGTATTTGGCATATCAAATACACCATGGGGAGCTTACCAGGCTCTCCCCATGTAGGCAGAATACTCTCGGTAGCTTGCTGGGCTCTCCGAGAGGTATATATTTATAATATATAAATACTTCATGGCAGTTAATTATTCTCAGAAGTGTGTCTTTAATTAATTTTGTCACTTCCAGAAATTTTGTCAATAAACAAGATTCTTTGTTTGCTGGTTGGTATTATATAATGTTTTAACAATGGCGCACATATTTCCATTTTTACCACTCGTTGGATAGTTTCAACATATCTGTTATAAAATACTACTTCCTAAAGTTGCTTTTCAAGTAACATATAATCTAAATCAAGGGCCCCAAATTTTACTGAATCTGAAAGAGAAAACTGTTTATCCTATCCAGTAGAACCCAATATTACAACTTAGAATTCAAAGGGGAGAGGACTCATAAGAGCTTTTTTTTTTTGTGAGGATTACAGGCATATAGTGCTCTTGGAGTTAAGCACTTTTTTTCATAAGCTCTAAAAGTCCTGGTTATATAAATGGGAAATATGCTATAGTTTGTTCTCTATATGATTTCCACATTTAGGAAACTAAAGTCAAGGATTAGGAAATCATAAGATTGAAGGGTTTTTTTTTTTTTTGAGGGGGAGGGTCATACTCGGCATTGCACAGAGGTTACTCCTGGTATGCACTCAGGAATTATTCCTGGAGGTGCTCAGGGGACCATATGGGATGCTGGGAATCGAACCCGGGTCTGCCGCGTGCAAGGCAAATGTCCTATTGGCTGTGCTATCACTCCAGCTCCAAAAGATTGAGTTTTACTGCAATAAAGTTGTAGCGTAAACTATAAAGCAACTACTAAGAAAAATAGAGATCCTATTACCACTTCTACATAAAAGTGTAATATTGATGGCTTTCACAACACTTCTGGCGCTCATGTCAAGGGTCAAGGACAGAGAGAACTGAGAATGAAAAAAAAATAGCATGTCTGTTTTCAAAGGATCTCTGAGTCCGTTTTTCCTCAGGACTTCTGGGAGGAGTGTTAGCTCTATTTTATAGAACATACACGAACGCCTAAAGAACTTGAGGGACCTGCTCTAGCCTGTTCCCTGCGTGGTGAGTTCCCAAGTGGGGCAAAGGGGCCACTGTCTGGGTGCTGAGATGAGCACTCCCTCCCTTCTCTCAGTGAATAGAAATGCCTTGTTGGCCCAAGGTGGGGCAGGAGTGGCGGAGAGGTTGCAGTCAGTCTCCTGGGCAGTGCTTGGAGTGGGTGGAGATCTGCCAGACTGGGTAAGTCCCAGTTAGGCTTTGATATATGCTGCTGTGTGATTTGTGCACTCTGTTAGACAAGCTGCTCTCTTCCCCTGTTCCTCTCACAGGCGTTCTCATTGCTGGAGATGACAGTCAGCTGCTTGCCCTGCATCACCTCCATCACATGCCTCACCACCACCACCGAGCCCTGGAAGCCTGACTACAGAGCAGCGTCTCAGAGGCATGAATAATTAGGTAGGCATAATGGAAGGCACTCACTGCACCCTCCAATTGCAGGCGCCCATTACCGAACTTTGCTACATCAGCTTCTATCTTCCGAAGGGAGAAGTCCGAGGATTTTCATACAAGGGCACTGTAACTCTAGACAAATCCAATAAAGGTTTTCATAGCTGCTACCAAGTCAGGGAGGGGTCGGACATCAGCAGCCTCAACTTGCAGCCCACGGAACACCCGGGCGACATCTTCTTCAAGCAAACTCCCACCAAAGACATTCTCACCGAGCTGTACAAACTCACAGCTGAGAGGGAGCGGCTGCTGGCCAGTCTGCTGAGCTCTGACCACATCCTGAGCATCACGATGGGGAACCAGGAGGGGAAACTGCCTGAGCTGTCAGTGAGCCTGGCCCCGGAGGACGACTCTTTCTCCAGTGCTGGAGACTGGCAGGGCGAGCCCCCGGTGGGCTGTCTCAACAAGAGGAGGGCCCATGGCAACAAAAAGCTCCGGAGGTTTGGTGGAAGGAGAGAGAACACGGAGGAGCTGCTGCAGCCGCAGAGGACAAGAAGAAAACAGCGTGAGAGACAGGACTCAGCATCTCAGCCGGGGAAGGTGCAGATTTGCTCCAGCAACTCCCTGCCCCTTTCCTCAGCAAGGCCAGATCTGAGGCTCCTAGAAGAGAGAAGCAATTTGCTCCCCAATGGGGTGCTTATCTCTTCCCCACTGAGGAAAGAGAGCTGTCCCCTAGACACGGACAGGATGCTGGACGTCACCCCTGGCCGTGGGGGCTTCAGGATGACTTCTGAGGAAGCAGATCTCAGGCTAGAGCCGTCTTTTGACTGCAGTGAGGTGGACCCCAGAGAGGGTGGTGCTGAAGAACTGCAGAGAGCACCTCCCCGGGAGGCCAGTTTATCTACCAGGCACAAGGACCCTTCGAAGCAGCCTCCCGAGGCAGAGAAGGGACGGAGAGAGAAATGCACGCAGCGAACTTGCAGGAAGAAGCCTGTCTCCAAAGTGGTGGCCAAAGTCCAGAATCTGCCCACTCAGGTGCACAGGGTCGTTAAAGCGCATTCTGAGGGTGACGGGGGCATTGCCTTTCGCCAGGCAGCCCAAGCCGAGTTTATCCCCCGAGCAGACTTTCTCACCCTCCCAGACGCAGAGACTGGCACCCAGCATTCTGCCCCCGGGATCAAGGAGCAGCAGCAAGGGGATGAGTCATCGCTGCCAGCGGCCAGAGAACAGACCCTTGCCAGCGCCGAAGCAGCTGTGAACAAGGTGCTCCGGAAGGTGATAGAGAGTGAGAAGTTAGATGAAGCCACCGAAGGGAAAAGGCTGGGCTTCCCTGTCAAAAGCCTCACGCTCCCAGGCCCCAGAAGCAAGAGGATAGCGGGGCTGCCTCAGGGAGTCTGCGCCACCTTGCTCTTGGAGCGACCCGGCAGCCGAGGCTCCCACTTCCCACAGCCACAGCCGGGAGGTGATGAGGACCGGCAGTCGTCATCCCCCCCAGAGGTGGCAGCGTTCAGCGTGGCATTTAATAATTCATCCTCCCAGTTCGGAGCACACAAACGCATGCCACCTGTTCCCTTGCCGCTCTCCGCGGGGCTCCTGGGTCCCCCAGAGCATCGCAGGAGCCTCCAGCTCCCACCTCTGCTTGGTGAGGGCGAAGCCTCTCCCGATGACTTTGCTAGTGGAAAGAGAAGTGCTGTGTTCGGGACCTCATCAGCCGACACCTTGGAGCCACCATCCTCCGCGAGGGTCACGGAGACCGAAGGGGCCAGCTCGTCCTCCCTCCAAGCAGGCCAACCTCAGCTGGTGCCTGGGGAATCCTTGGGCCAGAGTTTGGGGCCTGGGAAGACCACAGCTCGGCCCCAGTACCAGTCACCTCCAGGTTAGTTTCTGCTTAAGATGCTTTACATTTGCTCCTGAGTGGTTGAGAAAAATGCTGGTGTTTATTCAGAGACCGATTAACAGTCATAACCAAAAGTCTTAGACTTTTAGGAAGTTGATCTACTAAGAAGGGACCCAAGAGATAGTATAGAGGGTAAGGTGTTTGTCTTGTAGGAGACAGTCCTGGGTTCAATTCCTGAGACCTCATATGGTCTTCTGAGCACTGCCAGAAGTGACCCCTGAGTGTAGCCAGGTGTGGAAAAGGATAAAGAAAGAGAAAGAAAGAAAGGAAGAAGGAAGGAAAGAAGGAAGGAAGGAAGGAAGGAAGGAAGGGGAGAGAGAAAAGAAAGGAAAAGAAGAAAGAAAGAGAAGAAAGAAAGAAAGAAAGAAAGAAAGAAAGAAAGAAAGAATGAAAAAGAAAATGGGGGAAATAGGGAAGTGTGGTGTCTCTGTTTTTGCTTTTGGTATTAGGGTGATATATGCCTCATAGAAAAAATAGGGAAGTGTGGAGATGATATGGATGGTGTTGACTTTTGAGGTCTTGGAGTGGTGTTGCTTCCAGAAGTAATACTTTGGATATTCTTAACTTTGTTTAATTTTGGCATACTCTGAAACTGCCTCTCCCTCATTGCTGTCGGAACTCTCAAAGCAAACAGGACCAGGCAGAGAGAAGAGAGAAGTAACTACTTGTTGCTTACTTTGATGCTAACAGTGGGTAATTGACCCCTTGATTTAAATGCTCCTGAAAGAGCGTAGGTTTGCCAAGACTTTCTGAGCAGAAGAGCAAAAACACACCATGTATTTGCTCTGCTGTCTGTTGTTAAGAAATTTGTTTTGGTTTCTGTCTTCTAGTAATCCTTTTTATCAGCATCATTATTTTATGTCAAAAGCTGTTAGGTTTTTTTTTTTTGACCAGAGGAGGAATGATTTTATTTGGTTTTGAAGAAACATGGTTCAGACTTCCATTTTAAAAATTCTATTTTATAATTTCCCAAACATGTATCAAATAATGTATATTCTGAAGTTGTTTTATTGGGGGATGGTTACAGCTCTTACTGGTTTACACCATTTCTTGTGCAAAAGGTGGTATAGAGTTCATCTGACTGTGCTTAATGTGACTTTAAATTGTATATAGTACCAAGTTTGAAGGTTCATGATAAATGGGTTCAATAAAGCCAAAAGATACTGTACAAAGAAGCACTTCTCCCGTGCATGCCACTTTCCAGATCGACGCAGGTACCCGGACTTCTGTATTCCATTGTACAGGTAATCAGGGTTTTATTTTTCCCCAGTGCTCTTTGCACAGCATATGGTTAGTGTTTTGCCTAAGGAATAACATGTAATATGATAGATGGTGTCTTGAAGATTAGGAAAAGCATCATGTGCAATTTGGGGGATTAAAAATGTCAGAAGAGAATAATTTCAGAGGTCAGAGTTCATTTTGAATCCTTTACAGCATTTTATAAATTTTTCTAAATTATAAATCCTTTTCATTTTGTTTTTGTAATATGTTTACCTTAGTCTGATGAGACTTGTTACTTTCATAATAAAATCAATATGCTTCACCAGGAAAGTCAGAATTGTGAATGGGGGATGGGTTGAGAGGCTGGGCCACATCCACTGCTGCTCAGGGCTTTCTCCTGGCAGACCTTAGGGGCCATATGAGGTTCTGGGGATCCAATTGTATCCTCCACATGGTAGGCAAATGCCATGGTGGATTTTATAGCACTTACCACAGAACCCTAGTATAAAATTTTTTCTCCCCAAGGATATTGGCACCTACAAAATACTTAGAAAGGAAATTTTCTGTGATTACTGATTTCTGGATGTATAGCCATGAAATAACTCCCTTTAACCTCGGTTTCTTTTCAGAAATGATCCCAAGTTCTAGGATTGTCTGTGAACCTTATCCAGAAATAGGGCATTAGGTACACCAGATTTCATTAATGCTTTTTTCCCCCTGATTCAATATGATCTTTTAATTTTTTATTTATAAAAATATTATAAACGCCCCATAGTATGTGGGTCAAGTAGATGCACAGCAGACACTGTGTTTCTGTTGTGATTGAGCCGTTGACTGGCAGGTTCAGTCAATGACCTCCCTTCTGTTGTCCTCTCCACACATTACTCTGAAACTTTCCCTATACTTTCAACTCTCCATGACATTTTAGGAAGTCAGCCCTTCATCTTTAAGGAAATCTATGGCAGGGAAATCCCCTTGCTTAAAACCTTATGAAAGAGTTGGATGAAAAGGGGTGTGTGGAAAAAACTCTTCTTTTTTTTTCTGGTATAGATCATTTTGTTTTTCCTGGAACCTTCCACCAGAACACCCAAACATCTTCCATTATCCCACCCTTTTCTGGGAAAAGTGTTAAGGGGAGGAAGTTCTCCCAGTATTATCTTTGGACTGTATCCCATGTTATTGCTACAGTTCCCCCTTAAATTTCCTTTTTCTATAGCTGCAAATTTCCTTCATATTCTGGGTGCATCTGGAACTTCTTGCAGTTGGGTGGATTCAATAAGACAAAGAGAATTTTCCTGCTTCCAGTTGCCTTTGTCTGTCACTTCATTTCTTTACCACCACCCACTTTACCTTTCATTTACAATCACCCAACAATGGCATTTTTCCTGAACTCAACTCCTGCATTTTCCCATGTTAGCTATTAACCAGGTCGAATTTATCATCCGTGTACACTTGTTTCCTGTGGAAATGACATATAGGTATTTTATTAAAGAGATGTGATTAAGATTACTGAAAGTTCTCATTAACTGCTCAAGTAAGAGATTAAGTCTGGCAAAAGCAATCAAGTCTGTTTCTAGTTGGAAGATTCTCTATTATTTAAGACAAGGAGAAATTTCCAGAAAGAGTGAAATCCACTTTCCTTCTCTCAGAACCAAGAAGTTAATGTTGATTTTCATTTACCATTCAAAAAAGAAATAGCATAAAAGCATATTAGAGAGACTATTGACCCACCTTCTATTGACTGTGTAATTTTCCCATCTGCATTCCAAGAGCTGTCACTGTCACTGTCACTGTCACTGTCCTCCCAATGTTTATCGATTTGCTCGAGCGGGCCCAGTAACGTCTCCATTTTGAGACTTGTTACTGTGTTTGGCATATTGAATATGTCACGGGTAGCTTGCCAAGCTTTGCTGTTTGGGTGAGATACTCTCGGTAGCTTGCCAGGCTCTCCGAGAGGGGCGGAGGAATCGAACCTGGCTTCTCCAGGCTGGCTGCACGCAAGGCATATGCCCTACCACTGTGCTATCGCTCCAGCTAACACAGGAATTTCTTGTCTAGTGGTAGATGACCAAGCATCATCTAACAGTGAATGATAGCTGGAGTTGCCTTCTCCTAGTCCTCTCTCTCCCTTACATGGGAACTGAATGTATAGTAGTTTATTTTGGTGAAAAAAATGCCATAGAATATTCCCAAGCCTTTGTGGAAGTGCTCAAACATTAGGGACTACTGTTGTGTTTATCTGCATAGCTGAGTCTTTATGACTTGGGGCTGGGATTCTTTTCCATTTCTGCTTACTTTCTTTTACCTTTGATCTGAAATAGACACCATTTATTTGAGGGGTGGTGGGGGTTGGGCCACACAGAGTGGTGCTCAGGGATTGTTCTTGGCTCTGTTCTCAGAGGTTACTCCTGGTGGCGCTCAGGGAATCATGTGCTTCCCGGGGTTGAACTGAGCCTGAAGCCTCCAAGGCAAATGCCTCAACCACATACTATCTTTCTGGCCCTCAACTCTTTTAATATCACATGGACAATGGTTCACTATACTCAGGAAAATGATCATGCCTTCAGTCTGTCCCTAAGTAATCTCATGATCATTTTCCTTTGGTTGAAGTCAAAGGAACAGTAATGGAAGTATCTGACCCAGGCATAGTTCTTCTTGATGTGGTAAATCATTTAGTTTATCTTTGTTTGTGTCCATCAAAAGATAAGATGTAGTTAATCTAAACTGATTAAGGTTTGAGAGGAATACATATAATGTATTTTATTATATATAATGCTATTTTAAAAACTTTTGTTTCTCTCTAAGTATATATTATGGAGAATTTTTAAATGAAACAATTATAAATAAATACAATAAATTATTAATAATAGTCATTAATAAATTATAAATTCTCTACATTGATATTGAGGTTTGATACAATTCCAATAAAATATTGAACAAATTTTATGGCAATAATTGATTTTTGAGGATATTTACAATTACTTTAGAAAGCATGTATTATATGGAAAATTATGTGTAATTAACATTGAGAGAAAAATATCAAGATTCACAAATTACATCTATCATATTATACCCATTTATTTATTTTTTTGTAGGAGTACTGCTATTTATTCAGCCACTGATTAGCTGATTGAATTGGGCATGAACTCCACCTTACTTTTTTTTTCATTTTTTATAATTTTATTTATTAAATCACCATGAGAGCAGTTACAAAGCTTTCGGGTCTAAGTCTCGGTCATACAATGAAACACCCGTACCTTCACCAGTGCCCATTCTCCACCACCAAAAACCCCAGTATACCCCCATCCCACACCCTTCCCCTACCTGTGGGGCAGATGATTTCCACATTACTCTCTCTCTACTTTTATCATATTCAATATTTCAACACAGACCCACCATTATTATTTGAGATTTTACCCCAACACTCAGATCTGCTGAAAAGGCAACAGTAGACAATTTGTGTTCTATTGCTGGTTATGAATAACATATGATGTCGCGTGGCTACAGTAAGGCCATGTGATTTTGAAATTCTGAAATTTTAACACTTAAATCTGGAGGGATTTCTGCCAAAAGCCACTGGGTATCGAGATTTGCTCCGGAGTCTCTGGGATCATGGCCGTTGAGCAGCTTGATGAGGAGCCAGAGAGGCCGTTCGTGGGCGATGACTTGGGGTCTTGTTGGTACGGGGAGACCAGGACCAGCTCCACCCCCATCCTGTGAGGCCCAACGAGTTTCGTCACTGCGGGCCCAGACCTGAC